GTAAACCTAAAATTACTTAATTTTATTACTGTTATTTTATTAAGTTGTTTTAATTTGTTTAATTTCTTATCTTAATAATAGCTTACCTTTATATTTAATATGTGGATAACTGTTATTGGCATACTTGAAGTAAATTTGAAATTGTATTTAGTGATATACGCTGTTGTTATCCTTATTAAAATAAAATAAAAATAAAAATAAAATAATTTGAAAATTGTTCTCGAGGGAGCGAAAAGAGTAAATTTAGTAAAAAGAAAAACAAAAATACTGATTATGTTGTTATTTGGCAGATTGTAAGTATTTTAAAAACAGAATGGCCTATTTCACAATTTAGTACAAAGAATTTTTGGATGCAATGTAACGGACGACACACTTGGCGTCCTAATTGGTATAATGAATACTCATGGTGCGTAAACCATTGGTTATATATTACTAGCGTAGCGTAAACATTGATGATAAACAACGTCAAGTTGTAAAAGTCATCGTGATCCACTGATGACAATCACAATGATTATTTAGAAAGAACAACGTTCCAAAATCACGTAATTCCTTCGCGGCGTTACCATGCTGTTTAAGGCGTTACTCCAGTTACTAATTCTTCAACAGGTAAGCATGTAAACAATGGCTGCACATCAAAACTGACCATAGTTTCATTGTCTGCCATAAGTTTTTAATCTCGCTGTGTACAACCAGTGCGTGTTGTCAGTGATGACGTACAGAACCGAGACGTGGTCCTTCACAGCTGGCCGTATGAAGACGCTCAAAGTCGCTCAGCGAGCTATGAAGAGGGCTGTGCTCAGGGTTTCTCTGCGTGATAAGCTTAGAAATGAGGATATCCGCAGTAGAACCATAGTCACCGACATAGCCCAACGTATTAGTAGGCTGAAGTGGCAAAAGTAAAGTTACAGCCTATATACGTCTCAATGCTGGGCACAGGCTTCCCCTCATTTCTGAGAGGGTTTTAGGGCAAGGAAGTGGAAATGGCAATGGTCGGCCATATAGCTAGCGAAGAACCGACAACAGTTGGGGAAAAAAGTTTCTCGAGTGACAGCCTCGTACCGGTAGGCGAAGTGTAGAGCGACCGCCCCACTAAATGGAGTGAAGACCTGGTAAGACATGCAGGAAGTCGATGGATGCTGGTGGCTCAGGACCGTGCCTTGTGGCATACCTTTGGGGAGGCCTATGTTCAGCAGTGGGCTTGTGGAGGGCTGTAATGATGATGAATCTTGCTGACAAAATGGTAGGAATCCTTAATGTGTGCTCTTGTATGTCCCCTGAGCGGTGAGAGTATTTTCGCTAAGTGTTGAGTTAATCTGTAAGTTGGTGAATCAATTTAGCTCACTATGGGACGTAATGGAGCATCGGGCTTGTGCATTTTTGGTAACCCAAATAACTTTAGTGATTTGGCGCACTTAGGTATTATCCATTTTACGTCAAGATTTTTATTTTATTATGTTATAAGTATATTAATTTTTTTCAAAGAAATACTTCGAATAATTAAATCTGGATATAATAATATATAAAATGAGGGTGGTTTTTTATATAGGATTTATCTCCAATTAATAATTATAAATGCAGATGCGTTGCCAGCCCTGAAGAATGAGATAGAAGGCCTCGTTTCCAGTAAAAAGGGTCTCCGGTTCTTTACACTTACCATACAAAACACATTCGTACTATTTCTTAATCGTTATGACGCAATATCCACAACTTTTTACCGACACCATAAAAACCAATTCCTTTTGACGCAGTACATTCCCGTGTGAATTGAAATTTGGACTATATTTGCTATTGATTCTGATTGAGGCGTTGACGCGGTTCAATTTTGAAACTGCTCCGTGATAGTATGATATTTAAGCCGATGCCGTATTTCACTTTGAAGTCGTAGTTTATATTTTACGGTAGTCGATACGGTATTAATAATAGCTGCGTGGTGATGGCGTTAGAGAATCTATCACCCTATTCTGTTGCGTGGGTGACGGGAGAGACAATTACGAGATATGACGAAATATCTTATGCCGGTATAACTATCTGTTCACGCCAAGCATAGAACAGCTAAACCGGCAACATGAACAGAGTGAAATATGAAAAAAATCCAGTGCCGTGGTCGTCAATTCGTCTGGCTAGAATGACAATTAAGACGAATCCAAGCAAACGAGGTGATATGATCATATTACCTATAGATATAGATACCTAGTAAGTATAGTAGTATTCTATACATATCTATAGCACGAATAGTTCGGCACGATCGGGGCAGGCACCAGCTTAAACACAAATAATTCTGATGTTTTTTATATGGTGAGTGTAGATAAGCGGAGACTGTTTTTACTGATATGGCAGCGCTACACGTGAACGTCGTCGAAACACACCGAAGCTTAAATCGCGCTATCAAAGTTCTGAATCATAAACAGTGTATATAGAACATCTCCGAAGTATCACACGGAGCGTTGCCCGCTCCCCGAGCAGAACACCTTGCTCGGCGGGAGATCTCCCCTTTTTCCTTCCACGGCCACACTGGTAACGAGGCATTTAATCTTAGTTTTCAGTGGCGACAATGCATATGCGTTTTGATTCTTAATCGTGGATAAATGTAGATGTCTATGGGTCATATACGCATATACGTATATGCTATGGTAAAATTAGATGGACTATGTGCTCGTTTGGCACAATTAATCTATTAAAGAAATCCTGCCATTGTTTATTCGCCAGGGATTTATTCTTTTGTTAGTGTGGTACGTAAATTGAGGAAAGAATAAAAGTTGATATATAGGTATACATTCTCGCTTAAAATCCCATTTACTAACAGATAAGTAGTTGAGTATAAGTAGGTATTCTAGAAAATTGGAAGAAGCATATCTGCTTGCATTGGCATAAAATACACTTTTTCTTAGTAAATATTGCTAATAACTATTTTTGTAAAATATATAATTTACCTATCATGCACTTATATTACACAGACACATTTAGGAAAATAATTATTTTCCCTTTAAATAGTTTTCCACATTGGATCTACGACATGTGGTAGATTACTCACTTTCCTTTAATGTTATAAAGGCTTACAATTCTTCAGTCAGTGAAATAAACATTAAATCGACATATTTAACACCTGCACATACAGGGAAGTGAAGGTTTTTTTTAATGAGAGTGAATATTTTTTATTGATTTTTATTGCTTAAAGGACTTTAATGTTGAAAAAGATAGGGTGAGTGGGGGGAAGATCGAACGGTTTTTTGATGAGATGAATAGTCTTGTGTTTGACGTCTTGTATAACAGTACATATTAACTTAAGCGAAAATTATATCTATAGTGAATAAAGTACAAAGAGCGTAGTTTTATGTCATATTGATAAATCCCTGTTATATTTATTGGAAAGCAAAAAAAAATTAATTACAATGTTTTTATCAAAAGAAAAAAACAGGGGGAAAGATGAAAGGGTGGCGGGGAAAGATCGAAGTACTTTCTAAAATCGTTCAAAATAATGTCAGACGATATTGTCGGTCAGTAGGCTACAATTTTATTTGTCCTGATACATCAGAACTGTCTATAATATCCAAATACCTTAAAATAACACAGATAACACAAATTATTTGTTTTTTATATTTTAATCTTGCCCCGCCGGGGAAAGAATGAACTAGAGGTTCTGAAACTTTTCCTTTTACTTGAATAAGATTATACAGAAAATGAAAGATATCAATTATATAAAATCTTTTATTGTTAATGCCAAGATAATTTTAAACACAATTTTGTACCTTTTACTATTTTCGTCAATAAAATATGTAGCACAAAACGTAAAAAAATTAAATATTTCAAAATTAAACAGATAACCAATTAATAAGATCTTAGAACAATGCCATAACTAAAAACATAGAAAAACTTCTAAAAAAATATCATTTATCTTCAATCTATATAAATAAAAAAATGGGAGTGTCTATTTGTAATATTAAAAAAAAAACAGATTTTTACTAAATGCGTAAGGATGTATCCACGGTACATGTACCAAAATAACATTTTTTACAATTAATGTCTGTCTGTCTGTTTATTCCGGCTAATATCTGAAACGGCTCGACCAATTTTAACGGGACTTTAATTGATAGATAGATGATGTAGTAGGGAGTTACTTAGGCTACTTTTTTTTGAAATATTACTTACTTTAAAAAAATATTGCACAATGTATATAATTATGCAATAATATGTAAAATATTATTGCATAATGCACAACCCAAGTCGCAGGTATAGCTAGTACAATATATAAACAATAAATAACTTATCTTAAATTTGGCATATTTAGGAACTTTATATTCTGTAATCTTTAAGTCAAAATCAAATCATTAATAAAGCAAATTCGCCATAAATAGCACTTTATGGCAAAAATACCGATACCAAGTCTTTATTCTACCTAATACTTAACTTAAAAACTCAACGATGACGTGGATTTTCCAGAATGTTTCATTCCTCTGCACTATGATGTAGACGTGTACAGAAATCAAGTTATTGAGTATGTTTTAACTACTACTGACTTGACTTGACTGCACTCGTGGCGTACACTACGCCTCGATTCACGGGTCGTGCTTTTCGGACTGCCGGTGTTGTGCTTTTTCTGAATTTTCTAAGTTCTATTAGCACAACCCCGGTGTTTGGAAGTCCCGAGCGATGTTAATAGGCGTCCACCTATTATATTGGGACCTAAAAATTTATTCAGCCAGTGGTTGATGCGATTGCAACTCTGCCCACCCCTTTGGGGTATACGGGCGTGGAGATAAAAATTAACTACTACAGCTATGTGCGTAAAAACCAATATAAAAACAGAAGTGAAAAAAGTAATATAAGGTACTCTAAATAACTGTTAAAACTAAACATAAACACTTTTTTTAAATCGACAAAATAAAAAACAAAAATAAATAACAAGAAACAACTTATTGAATGTTAAATTTTTTTAAATTGACTTCAAACCTTATTTGGCCGCGACGAGAAATTTCCGGTTGTGGAAGAATACAAACAATATCTTACGTGTGTTTTAGGACGCTTATATCTTTCACAACTGGATAGGTGAAAGATATAATTGTATCCGACCTTGTCTCTTTGACTTTTCGTACAAATTTTATTACAGGCATGTGGTTTTCATATGACAAAATCGTTGCAACGAAATGTTTGACGTTCTTTTTTCTTGTAGTAAATTGTACTACAACCCAATCATCTTTCTTTAACTCACTAGATTTATCGTCAAAAAATGTAATTTCACCTAGCCCCAATGGTGTATTTGGCCAGGGATTTATATTTTCCTGATCTTCGTCTTGTTCTTTTAAGCATTTGTCAATAAATTCTTCCATATTATTATACTCAGAATCATCATATTCAAGAGTTTTAGCTTCTATCTCACTTTCGGAGCTTTCCGTCTCGCTATACAATACTTGTTTCCTTTTTCTGTGTATACTTTTAGATGTTTTCTTTTCCCGTTGGTCTTCTTTTTTTGGTATTTTTTAATATTTCCCAGTTTTTTTTGCGGCTTGACTTTTTTTTGGAGTTCCTTCTTTGGAATTTCTATCCTTGTCTCAAGTATATTTTGTGTTGATTTTTCATTTAAGTTTTTTTTCATAGTCTCTGTGATTACTTCCGCTCCAAAAGCTATACGCCTTCTTTTGATCTTCGTGTCGAGTTAAGAGGTTTGTTTGACTGTTTCGAGAAGTAGTTCTTCAAAACTGACTTAATTATATTAATTTTTGAATTTTGTCTCTGCAAATTACTTGCGGATGTTGATACATTTTCAATTTTAACATTATCTGATGTCAAACATTTAGGTAATTCTTCTTTATGGTACCCTACGAATTTTCGTGCGTATTCGTGATTCTTTGACACATCCGACAACAGATGAACGCTTTCTAACTCTATAGCTAAAGAAGTATTTTCAGAATATAATAACATGTCATTTTTCATCAGCACATTGATAGCATTAATGCAAAGTTCTTTTAAAGATACTGGGCTTAACGTTGATAAAATATGTAACCGCGAATCTTGGTGTGAAAACTGTGAATCTACATGTGGTGGTAGGGAGTATTGTGTATCATTTACTGACGGATATTGAGACTGTCGATGTGAAGAGTGGGGATCGTTTTTTTGCGCTTCTTCCCAACGCTTGTATGCTCTTGGGTCGTATTTATCAATTGGAAACACCTTAGAGTTAAAAGGGTATATTCCTGCTTTTTTAAAGCTGTTCAATATTATTTCGTCTTTGGTATCGTTCCAATTTTTAACAAAAAGCTCAGAAAATACCCTTTTAGGCACTTTAACACCTGTATTTTGTCTTTGCCATTCAAATAATTTAGCGTCTTATCTACTTTTAAAAGACTTGAATACAGCTACGTCCAACGGTTGTAGGATATGGGATATGTGAGGCGGTAATTTCAATATCGTTATATTGTTTCGAATAGCTAATTTGACTACATTGAGATCAACGTGACTGCCATGTACGTCGTAAACTAGGAGGACTGGTCTTTCTTTTCCAAGGGCAGGGATAAACACTTTTTCTATGTAATTATAAAATATTTGTGTGTCCATCCATCCTCTTTGACTCGCGGCATAAGACAGCTCAAAGTCATATTTGCCCTCAGTTTCAGCTACCCATGAATCCCACACAAATTTCCCTTTAAATATACTCGTAATTAAAGGACTTATTTTCTTGGCGTTCGCACTAACGGCCGTTAAAACAGTGATATTTTCTCTGCCAGTACCATGTGTTGTTCGAAAAGATGGGGCACCGTTCTTTCTAACTGCTTTTGTCTTTGAATGGTCTAAACACACTGATGTTTCATCCAAGTTCCATGTGGCCGTTGTTCCAAATTTAATTCCTTTAACATTGACTCCAACATTGTGAAGTATTCATCTATAATCAAAAGGATTAGTGTTGTTTTTTCTTGAATGTTCTAGAAACTGAGCTTTTTTAAGGGAAAGCCTGTGTCGTTTACGGAAGTTTGTGAACCAATCTGGTTCAGGATCTTTAAATGGGGTATGTATTTTATTCAATCGAATATATCGTTCCACTAATAAAATTACTTCTTTTCTAGATAGACCGAAACCCCATTTTTCTAAAACTTTTAGACCATTTGCTAATCTCGTTTCCGTTTCATGATCAAATACAGGAGGGCGACCAAGTGTATCACTTTTAACACCGGTTTTTTTATTAAAACCAATGTGAAGAGTAGCAATGGATATTTTATAAAATTTTGCCGCGCCATATAATGTCAGTTCCTTCCTTTTCACTTTCTCCACGGCTTTAGCCACATCTTCAGGAGTATAGGAGGTTGCACGTAGAGATTTTCGGATGTAGTTACGTGGCATGCTGGTGTTTCTAAATTGACAAAATGCATTTAATTTTTATTTATACGGTATATATATATATATGGGTGCCCAAAAAAAAACTATTTTAAAGTGTCGCTCAAATTTTTTGAAAATTTCTGAAATCGTCAAAAATCGATTTTTCGAAAGTTCATAAAGTTCAGTTCGTTAAGATAAAGTAACATATTTTTATAGGAGACTTGAAAAAAAAATCGTTTTTTTTTTGGGACGCCCTAATATATATATACTAACATTAATAAAAAAATTTGGTAGTAGATCCACGTCTACAGTTCAACTGTAACACATAAATGAACAGGATCGACCGGTGCGACACTATTCTCTCACAGAAAATCAGCGTGTGGTGAGCTTCTTAGTGGCTGACATGTTTTTTTTTGGCGAGTGAGAGTTCCGGATGCTCGTTCCTTTTCTCCTTTCCTTAAGGCCACCCGAATGTTGACGTTTGCTAGATAAGCCGATGTGGCGTTGCATTGTTCTAGGGACTGTGATGGTGCATTTACTAGCGAGTTTCTGGAGGTCTTTCCCCTTTAAGTTCCTACTCCCATTCCTACAAATCCTGTTTCTATACCTTATGAGAAGGGAACGTACAAGTAACACTCCTGTTGTTTCTTGTGTCTATGGACAGCGGTGAAATCACTTAGCCATCAGGTGACCCCCTTGCTCTTTTTGCCTCTCTTACAATGTACAAATATAAAAATAAATACCTTTAGATAATATTAGCTGAAATTACACTTTGAGAACATGAGACCATTAGTATGACTTTTGAAAACGGTGCAAGTTGGAAACTTTTATATGTTTATCTTACCCCGTCAAATATTGGTGGGTAAAGACGGAATGTTACAATAAATCATCAGACATAGCAACATAACGACTAATTAAAAATAATGAGTATGTATACAAATAAAAAACTCGTACCTACCTCGTAAATGAAGTTACACGACACGGGGTAAGATTAAAACACCCGACTTGCTCGCGTAAAATTCACAGCGTAGATATTCCCTTATAACACACAACCGATCCCTCAAAACGACAAGTGCCGACTGAGGTGTGGGACGTAACAAAATGGTGGTCTCATGAATGTTGTCTGCTTCGGATAAATTACACAAAATCTGTCTTTATTGATGCCTTTTTGTGTTACCCCGTTTTTCATCTTCCCCCTACTCACCCTAATTTATATTACAATAAATGCTTTGAGAAATAAGCTATAAATAAGCCTAAACCTGTTAAATCAGTGGTATTAATAACGAAACCGGAGAATATTTCCTTTCGAGGTCGTTCGTGAGGCTAATGCATGATCCGTCTTAATACTGACCCGTGTAACGCGACTCGTTGACATCCCATCTTTGCTCTTTAGATATGGAAGAGATCCAGTTACATGGTACACAATGTATGAATGAAAAATATTGATAAATAATTAAGCATTCTAAATTAAATAATATAATAATTTAATTTAAAAAGTTTTTTTGAGTACGATGTTTTATTCCATAAAATCTTAATTTTGAAAAACATTTCCTCACATTGAACAAAACGGATTTTAATGCAATTCATCTAAATTATTTTTCAGTCTCGGAGTCGATTCGTGCAGTTACCATTATTTATACCATTTTTATGCCGCCCAGCAGCAGCGTGCGCACTGCACAGGCTGTGAGGCATTCGACCTTAATCACAGAGTATATTTATTTATAAAAACCTTAGTCCTCCGAAGTGACAACCCATCCGCTGGCTTTTGTTATATAACATTTAAATAAATGAAATAAACATTTTAAATACCTAACTTATGACATTTTCTCATCTCATTCTGCAGTTTACTTGGTAATAATAGCAATGGTTCACTGAATTTTGAAACGCAAAATAATCACCTACGATACACGTACAGTTGTAGGCATAATTCTCTCACATTTACTAAATCTTATAACAAATTGTTCATGTCATCAATGTATGGTTGATATAATTTAAAGTTAACTGTAGTTTTTAATGAAGTATATTACAGCGTGTAGTGGCAGTGTAAGAATTTCCACTGCCTCATATCTTCCCGTGGGTGTCGTAGGAGGCGACAGCGGCATTAAATCACTTTATCAACTTCAAATAAAAAAAACAGCGTTTGCCAACCCTCCTGCCAAGCGTGGCAACTATGGAATAATCCTCTCGATGAGTCAATCTATAGGAGAGGCCAATGTTCAGTAGTGGACTTTTAGAAGCTGGAATGGATGGAATGGGTGGATATTACAGCCTAATTGACACACACGTGGCCTGAATTGTAGATGTTATGTTTTGTTGTTTCCAATATATTTTTTCCTATAAACTTTCAGGTAAAACCAGGAAAGTAATATTTTGAAAAGTTGGCACACTTTCTTTTATTGAAAACTAGATTGCTTTTTCAGTGGTACTCCAAAAATGATGGGTACTGAATATTTCAAATTTAAATTGTATATCCCAATGGTTCTTGGATTTTTTCCAAACGTTGGACCGATATGGCATATACCTACATATGAAACAGAAAAAGTATAATTCGTTTATGTGAAAGTTAATCACAATAAAACGCATGAAGAAAAATAAAAATAAATTAATTGATGTATTTATACAATAAGTAATAACTGAGGTTTACCGTGTAGCGGCGGTTTAAGAATTTCCACTACCCCATATCATCCCGTGTGTGCAGTAACAGGCGACACAGGGAAAGAAATCAGGAGATGGGCAGCAGCGTCAAATAAAAAATAAACTACGGTTGCTAACTCGCTGGCCAAGCGTGGCCACTATGGCTAATACTCTGTGAGGTAATCTTAGGGGGAGGTCTACGTTCAGTAGTGAAATTTAATAAGCTGTAACGGTAACGGTACCGAACAACGTAGGTATTTGTTATTGAGGTGGTTAAAGAATGCTTTTCTGCCTAGCAGTCCGTCTGGGTTTATTTATATGTATTTTTACTTATACCTGCACCTAATTGTGCCGCCCATTAACAGTGCTTGCACTACTGTGGTACGGTCTTTAGATTTCAACCAGTATAATTATGGACAGAGAGGTATTTCATTTTAATCTGCTTTCTTTGTATGAAAATGTTGGAAGATATCCGTGGACTACAGTAAGCGTATTACCTTCAGGTGAACTTTAAATTCGTTTCTTACTTTAGTTTTACTAATAACGGGGCTAATTTATGTTATTATTAATATTTCAAACAGTTTATGAGCCCCATTGGTCAATGCAAATTTTACTTTAGTCGATGGTTTCATGGAATTCAGAAACAAACTAGCATTTTTGTACGTGGTAGAGCCATGCTGCAGTTATATTAATAGTACAGTTGTAGCACGATTAGGTCGGCTCGACCGGGGAAGGACCACGCTCTCACAGAATACCAGATTAAAATAGTAGCTTAATGCTGCTGTGTTACGTATGGTGAGTGTAGAGTACCGGAGACCCTTTTTACTGAAGACGAAGCATTCCATCTTAGTCCTAACGGGTGACAACGCATCTGTGTTTTAATTCGTAATTGTGGATAGATGTAGATGTCTTCGTGCTACATAATGTGGACTGTTAGCTACGATACGGATGCTTAGGCAAGGGAAAAACCGTGCTCGCATACAATCATCATCATTCATCAAAATATTTACAGGCCCATCAAAACTCCAATGCTGAACATAACCCTCTTTTCGAACAGCATCGTGAAATAGCAGCATCATATAGTACGTGACAAGAATCGAAGACCCTTTGTAAAGGTAACGAGGCATTTGATTTTAGTCTAAATCCTTAGGGATGATAGCGTATTTGCTTTTTGATTCTTAATCGAGGATAGATTAAGTGTCTTAAGGCAATAGCAACTAGGTCGTATCTTTGGGCAAAAGCAATCGTGTCTTTGGACAATAGCGCTTAGGTCGTCTGTTAATTCTAACATCTATAAAAAGCGAGACTTTTAATTCAATTCATTAGTTACAGGCTATGACTGCCTCGGTGTTCTAGTGGTCGTAAACGCGAATGTAAGTTTTAGGGCAAAAAAAACAGTATAAAATGTTTATTAATTTTTTATTAAATTATTAATACTAATTTTGTATACATATTATTAATTTTTTCTGTGAGGATATTCTCAGTAGTAGCACAGATTTAGAAAGTTGGCGTTGTTTCATGCCTGTGCCTCGGAAAGCAAGTAAAGCTATCGGTCCTGTGCCTGATCTCTCTCCAGTCATGTCAAATTACCATATCATCATACTATTAGAATGAGGGAAATGAGAGTGCACCTGTGCTTGTGCATGCACGCGGGCACTATAATCCTGTCCTGCGCAGATGGCTAGTCTTTGATAAGAATAACCAAGGTGATAAAAATTCGATCTGGATAACATCGTCATTATTATTACAGGCCTATCAAAGTCCACTGCTGAAAACAGACCTCTTCCATAGATTGCTACATAGGTGAGATCTTGACATAGTTGCCACGCTTAGAAAGCATTTCTGTATCCCAGTCCAGTGTGGTGGCCACGTTGCTGAGGTACCACGGCATGGATGTTCTGACTGCTGCTCATAAGCGCTATATCAGACTGTTGGCAGCTCGTGACCCAACAATCAATACTAATACAATAAAATCAGAGGTGCGGGCCGCCTCCGTACTTGAAGTTAGCACTCAGACCATTTGGAATTGCTTACGCTAGGCTGGACTACGAGCATGGAGATCTTGCCGAGCACCTCTGAATCCACAGCAACGTCAGCGACGGAGATTGCAGTGAGCTCGACTCCGGCAAAATGAACAAGATGAGGAGTAAAACATTTTACAAAACTGTCTCTTCGTTGACAAATCGCGGATCAGTACTCATCAAGATAACCGACAATATTTTGCCGAATTGTTAGACCATTATTTGTAGTAACGCCATTGCGCCCTCCTTTCTGCCATTGCGCCCTCCTTACTGCCATTGCGCCCTCTTTTCGGCCATAGCGCACTCTTTTCTGCCACTTTGCGCCCTCCTTTCTGCCAAGGAGGGTCGCGTCCGTTTAGAGCTTAAAGA